CAAAAAAAAAAACAAAAAAAAACAATAACAACAACACCAACAACAAATATGGAAATTTAGGGCGCCAAATGGTGGGACCCGCGGACCAGAAACTGACGGCAGGTGATTTTCCGAAGTTGCCGGAGATTATTTCCACGCCCAAATTTCCTCTCACTCTCAGTTAAGTGCGTGTCTTGTGTGTGTTTTTGAGATTTTATGTTCTTTCACGCAAGCCGTCCCTTTAAAGTGGAAGGGTAAATTTGTGGGTGAATGGGGATATTATAGTCATTTTCGTTCTAACCGTGGTTAAATGGTCTAGTCATGATAATTGATGAGGTTTATGTTACCGGTAAAATGCACCAAACCCCCATGTAATATACTAAATTTGCGCGTTATTCCTCTCTATTTTAAAAAATGCGTCAAACTTCTTTCTATTGTAGTTTGGCTAGCACACCACACCCGTCATCTTAGACAGTTTAGGGTGTTTCGCGCAAGCCAAACTACAATAAAAGGGGGTTTGACGCATTTTTTAAAATAGAGGAGGATAACGCGCAAATTTAGCATATTACATGGGGGGTTTGGTGCATTTTACCCTTTATGTTATTGACTTACCCTTGGTTGATCATGTTTTCAATTTTTTATTTCATGACTCCAAATAAAATTAACTAAATGCAACCTATGTTTTTTTGAGAAAAAAATTAAAGTACATTATTCAAATAAAAATCATAAAATGTACAAAAATGTGTCACAAGTTTATGTCAAATCAAAATTCACTTGTATGCAAAAATAATTGAGGGCACAAATAAATGTATATTTTACTAATAAAATAATATTATCAGAGTATTTTCAATAAAAATGATATTGTTCGAACATTATTTGTGTTAGAATATCACTTGTGAGTTGTCCCACATCGTTCATACATGAAAAATAGACTCACCTTATAAGTCTAATGGGCTACTCCGTCTTCCACCAATTGGTTTTGGAATGGAACCCCACTTGGGATTCATATGGTTTTCCCCGCTTTTGGTACGCTTCATGTTAGTGGATCCGCACCCGTTCTCCCCCCAGTTTCTTACAATTTGTGTTCTAGGTTTTTTAAATTTTGTTAGAAGAAAATGAGATGCATTTTTTAAAGGCAACCCCTAATGAAAATGTACTTTTATGAAACTCTAATATAAATACAAAAATTCTATGGAGTTATCGGATGCTTTTTTCATGGGGTCATCCATCACTTAATGTATTGAAATTTGTCTAAAGTGTATTTATTGTAGGACACTTGTCAATACACTATTTGTAGGTAACTGTGGATAACTTCATAAGTCGAGCAATCTAATGGGTCCATGGCAAAACTGAAATACAAAAATTCAAATCAAACAAAATAAGAATCGCCTGCTATCATTTGCATATATAAATTAAAAATGTTAAATTCATTATCGATAGGCTCGAATCCATCAGAAAGGGCAGACCTTAGGTTTCAAAACGAATAAAGCTACGTCGGAATTTTTCGAAAGTATACCTTAAAATCACATCTTCATTATCTAACTGAACTCGGAGCAAGCCGTTGCGAAACATTTCAGTAATTAAACCTTCACAAATCCATTTTTTCTTCTAATTTAATCCCCAAGATTTCAATATTTTATTTTTATTTTATGCAATAAATATAGTGATTAATATGCGGACAAACACTTTTTATACTATTTATTTTTGCTAATTAAAATGTGATAACATTAACCACCAAACATATAAATAATTGGTTAGGGGTGAGCGCGTGTCAGTACGATTCGAAGATTGATAAATCTCTAGAACCGTACCAAACTTTGAAGATCCCAAAATTTGATCTCCAAAACCGTACCAAAAAGTCGGTTCGGTTCAGTTCAGATATTTTTATTTTTCGGTTCAGTTCGGTTCGGTATTCGGGACTATTGGGACGGATCGGAACAAGGTTCAAGTCTACCAGTCTGTTAGGATTTCGATATGGTTTGGTTCGGATTTTCGGAGATTTTTTATTTTCTTAAATTATTTTTGAATGACTACCTAGTTATATTTTAATTTTATATGCTTTAAAAAAACAACATTCATCAATAATTCATCATATTGAAGATTTTATTTTGAAATCAATTCTAGAAGTAACTCTAAATTTTAGTTATTTAATTTTTATATGCTTTAATAAAACCAACATTTATCAGTACTTCCTTACATTAAAGATTTTATTTTGAAATCAACTTTATAAGTAACTCTAAATTTTAGTTATAACAAAATTTGTGCAACTAATATTGAATATTTAAAATTCAAATAAAATATAATATTTTTTTAAAAAAAATATTCTTTAAACTTTCATATTATTTTATAATAGAAAAAATTTAATTGTAGATCAAGTATTACTAAGCACATTTAAATGAATGTTAATATTTATTACTATATTATATAGAATCAAAGTTGACATAAAATATATCAATAACACGTCTAATGTTATAATTCGGTTCTTATTTTCGGTTCTTCGGTTCGGTACAGTACGGGACGGTTCGATTCGATTCGGTTCTCGGTACGGATATTTGTGAAATCTCCATAACCGTACCAATTATTTTTTTGGTTCGGAGAAAGTCAAACGGTCAATGATTATTTTTCGGTCGGAGTGATTTCGGTTTGGTTTTCAGAACGGTTCGAAATTCTCCGAGTCTCATGCTCAGCCTTATAATTGGTTCTACTTAAACCGACTACCTAATTGTTTATGAACACCTTAAATGAAAACATAAATTATCTTTAAAGCATTGAAAAATAGAATCGTTGCTGAATATGCCAATTTTGGGTGTTTATCAAGTGTTACCGTCCAAATCATTCCATATCACTAATGTCATAGGACTGCATTTATTAGAGAAATCATAAAAATGGGTTCAGTAATTTGTAGTATTTTTTATTAGCATCATAATGGACTTAAATGATAATGCACAAGATAATATTACAAAAGGAGAAAAAAATAAAAATCCCACAAACATTGTCATAATCAAGGAAAATAAATTAAATTTGGATGGGATTTCCTATTATAAAATAAATCTTCCTCTTACATATAAGAAAAAGTATGAGGGATTGAGAGCTTGACATGTGTCATCTTTTGATTTACCAAAACACCCCTGCAATGATCCTCTTTTTACACTTGACGCCCTCCTTTCTTTCCACCCAATCAAGTAAAAAAGCTTTCACGATGGTGTGTGTCAGACGTCTCTACCCAAAATCTCACAAAATCTACAAAATCTTTTTTCATATATTTTTCGAGAAAATCAATCTCCTTTGGATCTCTTTCTATCATCCTCCTGCATCAAATTTTTACGCAACTTTGCTCCGTTCTTCCGAGCTTCAAGACGAAAGGGTTTGGTACCATCAAGTCTTCTGCCCCACGGCGTCTACTTTCCTATGGCTAGGGTTTTGTTGGTGGCGAATGAGCAGGGACATGAACTTTGGACTGCTGATGTCGTTTCATGAAATGAGACACAATACTGTAAGTTGTTCTTGACTGTTTACAGTAGTTATTGACTGTTCTACCCCAAAATTGTGTATGCATCACTCAAATTTATATTTCAGATTTATCAATTTTCAATTTTGCCAACACAGTTAGCATCCGCACCTACGATTTCAGAATTTAATTTTCCTCGGGTTCATCTTATGGGGTATGTGTTATTTGTCGTGAGTGGGTTGATAGACTGATGATTACATGATGGGGGTCTGTGTAGGTGATGGGAGTCAGAGGGCTTAATCACAATCTCGCTGAAGGCCATGAAGGCACCCGAGACAATGTGGTGGGCCACTGTGGCCGATGACGTAGAGGGAGCTTCATCTTCCGATGTTCAGTTTGACTCCAGGCAACCATGATAAACCAAGATCAGGCCAGAACACCCTTACCAACTTGACGGCTCAAGGTGTTAGAGCTCGCGGAGAGCTGGCAGAGGCAGAGAAGTATATGGCGTAGATGGTGCACAGATCGCGAGGCGACAATGAAGGAGATGACGGAAACCTTGCGGTACACGAGATGGCGCAAAGCTCGCTCTGGTGCCTCGCATCGTAAGTTTCCTCCGACGGCGCGTTTGGAATGAGTAATATCTTGCATGTTTGGAATGAGTATTAACTTTGGTCTTAATCTATATCATGTGTTTGGGATGCTCAATTTTTTTTACCTTGAAGGAAGAGTAGAAATTGAGGTCTCGGTGTTAGAAATTGAAACTTTCTAATGGAATTTATTTCTACCTTTCACCGTACCTCTTCATTTTCTTAACCAACAGCACGGCTAATGACCTCAGGTACTGGGGCCTCGATTACCTCTGATTGGGAGTATTTAATATTTTTATATTAGAAATCCTTTTGATTAAGTTAGTTTATAACATCGTATATGAACAGAAATACAATAAGTAGAGACTTTGGATAACAGTACTCTAAAATTTAGTTTGTAACCTTCCTAATTCTGCCTTGTTACTGCTTTAACATTAATAACCTTTGTATAAGCATGTTTCAATTTTCTGCAGTATGCTAAAAGTTTTTTATGATTGTTACTTCTAATGAACTGTTTCGTCATTGTTATCTTCCTCTTCTCATTATTATTAAATGGTGCACTGGTTCTCAAGCAGATCTCTACCGTGTGATGATTTTCATGTTCTTAAGTCCTTTTGAAGACTTGGGTGAAAACAAGCTGTTCTGGGGTCAGGGTGTACTTCAGGTATGACACTTATTAAATCTTCTGATTTTGCTTTCATATAACTATAAATGTAAAATAGTGTCCGTTAAGCAGAAGTGAATCATTATTGAAAATTTGCAGGTTATATTGTTGCTCTTGGCTGTTATTGTTGTTCCATGGATGCTTTTCCCAAAACATTTTATTTTAAAGAGACATCACACAGAG